TGGTCCCAAGATTACTTAAAAACTATGATAGGTAGAAAGCTGAATTTTGGTGTCCGGAAAACTTACATTATTATCTATATTCAAAACATTTTTTATGGTTTTCCGCCCACTGCCACACCCACTCCCCATACAAAATTTTCATATTAAATCGTTTATTATGGTTCAAAAAACTTTTTGCACTTATTGGACTATATATATACCTGACGTACATAGCAACACAACTTCATGCAAAAAATGGGCGTGATCCGCCCATTAGTTCCTAAGTTATTTGCAGTTTTATGCAATTTTAGCGAAATTACGATTTCTCAAAAATTGAACCAACTTTAAACCTTTATAGCTTTTTTACTATTTATTCAAAAATGATCATTTTTGATTTTTTTTGAAGCTTAGGATATTGTTATTCATTACGTGTAAAAAATATTTCAATTTTAATTATCAAAAAAATTTTATTAGCGAAATTGCACAAAAAGTCAGCATTTTTTTCATGGCCATTTTCACTTCTATCTGCGATACCCAAAAAATGTATCCGAGTTTTTTCATGAAATTTTTCCTACTAATAGCCAAATAGTTACACTTTACAACAAATAAAAAATTGGCCTGCGCACTCTATGTTTTACACCTATTTCAGGCCTCAGAATCCAGCGAAAAATTACGAAAAATATTACCTTCAATAAACCCCATTTATTTCAACAAAAAATTCAATAAGTAATAACAAAAAGACATTTAAAATTTTATAAATATTTAATTTATTTATATTTCAAATTTCAACTAAATCGATTGAAAAATAACGAAGTTATAACACATTATGTTCAGACGCCTGACCGGAAGTATGATCACAGTATTTAACCTTGAATGTACAGTTATTCAATTTTACACAAGCAAGTAATGCGTATTTGAAATATGAACACTTCCGGTCAGGCGTCTGAACATAATGTGTTATAACTTCGTTATTCTTCAACCGATTTAGTTGAAATTTGAAATATAAATAAATTAAATATTTATAAAATTTTAAATGTCTTTTTGTTATTACTTATTGAATTTTTTGTTGAAATAAATGGGGTTTATTGAAGGTAATATTTTTCGTAATTTTTCGCTGGATTCTGAGGCCTGAAATAGGTGTAAAACATAGAGTGTGCAGGCCAATTTTTTATTTGTTGTAAAGTGTAACTATTTGGCTATTAGTAGGAAAAATTTCATGAAAAAACTCGGATACATTTTTTGGGTATCGCAGATAGAAGTGAAAATGGCCATGAAAAAAATGCTGACTTTTTGTGCAATTTCGCTAATAAAATTTTTTTGATAATTAAAATTGAAATATTTTTTACACGTAATGAATAACAATATCCTAAGCTTCAAAAAAAATCAAAAATGATCATTTTTGAATAAATAGTAAAAAAGCTATAAAGGTTTAAAGTTGGTTCAATTTTTGAGAAATCGTAATTTCGCTAAAATTGCATAAAACTGCAAATAACTTAGGAACTAATGGGCGGATCACGCCCATTTTTTGCATGAAGTTGTATTGCTATGTACGTCAGGTATATATATAGTCCAATAAGTGCAAAAAGTTTTTTGAACCATAATAAACGATTTAATATGAAAATTTTGTATTGGGAGTGGGTGTGGCAGTGGGCGGAAAACCATAAAAAATGTTTTGAATATAGATAATAATGTAAGTTTTCCGGACACCAAAATTCAGCTTTCTACCTATCATAGTTTTTAAGTAATCTTGGGACCACGGTAAAATCTCCATGTTTGGGCAAAAATTTCGGGTAGTTCCAGTAGGCCGATTGGGCTCAAATTAGATTTAAAAGAAAGATCAACTCAAAAACTATATTTTAGGAAAATTTCATATCAATATCTCTACTGGTTCCGAAAATATCGAATTATGACCGCCTAATTTTGTGTTTTGTCACACTGTGCGCCGGCTTGTGGATGTGTTTCTTTCAAGATTCGGCGACAAACGCATTCTTCTCGTTTCTTTTGAAAATATGGTATGTGCTTTTAGTATTTTGAACTGTATCGAGGCACTTTGATTGTCTACTTCGATTTTTTTCTCTTTCATACAGAAACCGTCTGTTTTCTATTTACTTGGAGAGCACTCAAATCCATCCATTGTATGTTTCTATTTGCTGTCGAGCATTGGGATGACGAGGGCTATGTGAGTGATTGTGTGCTCCCATCCGATAGGTTACCATTGTTACGGTTGTTTATTTCATATTTTATATCGTTTGCTTTATTAAATTTTTAATGTGTTGCTTTTGTTATTCTGGCAAATAAATAATAAAAGAAAAACAAAAATAATAAAAAAAATAATAAAAAAAATAATAAAAAAACAATTGTACTTAAAATGCAAGTAAAAGTAAATTCTTAAAAAAAAAGGTAAGAAAATCTTCTCTGATGTATCTGTGTGTATTTCACTTGAGGCTAACAGATAAAAACACTTTTATACAAAGTGAAATACACATAGATACATATATCTATAGTAGATAGTAGATATATGTTTAACGAAATAAATATATCTTTTTATGAGCTTTTGTGATTATTATACAATTTTATGGATTTTGTGGTGAATTTTGAAATATCCTTGTGATATCCTTAAACATAAGTAATCAAATTGTCTGTTTATTAATGTTGTTAAGGACTTATGAGATTACATTTTAATTTTTCAAATTTAATACACATGGAAAAGTTTGAAATGTGCACAAAAGGAAAACTTTATCTATGAAATCAAAACATATGTAAAAGGAGTTGAAGTTTGTAGTTTAGTCTGTAAACAATAGCAGAAGCAGACGTCAGATAATGTAATGCAACTGTAATATTTATGTCAGTCATGGCATAAATAGTTAATCCCTCTGACAAGCAGTGCACTTAAAATAATGTAAATATACGTATTTGTTGGGCAAATATTATATGGAAACAATAGTCAAATTTTTATTTTTATTAAAACTAAATATTAAATAATACAATAAAAGCATTTACTATTAAGCTCATAAGCATTATTCATATTAGTGTGTTTTTAAGTAAGTTCTTAATATAATATTGTATGAATTGTCCCCAAACCTGCTAATAGTGATGGAGTTTGCCTGCAGCAAAAGACGATAGTGTTAGGATGGAAGTCGATGATATGAGATATTTTTGGTGCTTTGTCGCGTACCTATTATTAATTTCCCAATACAAAGATCACTGTGTAAATAAGTCTATAAGTTTACTGATCTGTGGTACTAATTAATTTTCACAAACTTTCACATAGATGCCCAACCTACTTGGAGTTGGTGGCTTTAATATAACAATTTGTTATTTTATTTCCTGATATCTCAAAAATTAAGCTATGGTATACTCACGCATAGGTTAGGAAGATAGGTGAAGTGCACGGAGGATCAAATCCTCCTGAATATTTAAGAAAGCTCATTTTGATTCCATATCTCTTTATATTATGGGTAGAATGTCGAGTATATTATAGAATAGAGTATATTAAAGAATGGAATGCAAAAAACTTGTCATGTTTTTGTACAAGTCAGGACATAAACATAACAAGTGTGCCTGTGTTTCCTCTTGTGGCGGCGATAGACATATACTACAGGAGAATCGACAGGGTAGGTTGAGCCTGACTCCATGGCTTCGTATAGTCCAGTGTCATCTTAGGATTGATATTTACTTAGAAGCTTCCATTTACTTTTGTGTTTTAACAGCTTCTAAATTTGGAATACAATAAGTCATGCAGCTTTGATTTGGATGTGGGGATTAACGGAATGTTCCATATAATAGCCCGAAAGTCTCACTAGCTCACTCGCAGAGATATCCAGTGCCTCCTTACTGTCTTAGATGTTTCAATTTACTTTTGTGTACTAAAGACAAGCCAAAAAGCTCTGACTTGGATGTTGAAAATAAGTTCAATTCGTGTTTTCATTTGTGGCAGGCAGAAGCAGGGATTGAAACGGAAGGGTCTCTATATATGTGGCGAAGAGTTCCCTCATACCCTTATCAATTTTAATAAATATTCTTGCATAAAATCGAAAGTTTTAGTAATATCAACGAGGACTATGTCTGTTATTTTGTTTTAAGCTGTCTGGTGCACTCTTATCAGAGTGAAGTAACATATAGTAGAATGCATATCCATAATGTCTTATTGTTCCTACGAGCTGATGCTGAGAACTTTTGTTGCATTTTTAAGGCTAATGTGTGACTCTTTTAATTGTACTTTTTCCCAGACTAGGAAATAGGCTTATTGGGCACTGATTTAGCCAGAAAGTCATAAATTTAATCGTCTTGCGACTGTGCAAGACTGACTAAAAGTCAGTTTTGGTATGTTATTAGTAATGTTATTTTTTAGTAATATTTTCAATGTAGTGGTATGAAATAAGTTCCGGGCCTGACGCAGACTTTTTCGGAGTTTGGTATTAATGTCTTTAATTTCGTTTTGATTTATGGGGTAGATCGCATAGTTGGAATCGAAAGCTACGACAACACCTGATTAGAAAGTAATTATCTCTTAACAAAGTAATATAAATGAATTGAAATCTGAGTAACTATAGCTGTAAGGATATTTTAGTAGAATTAATTTTTAATTTGAGAAAAAAAAAATATAGTAATTAAACAAAATCATTTAAATAACAGAATTCATTTAATTTAATTGAAATATGAGCATCAATAAACGTTCTGTAATAATTTTAAAACTAATTTTTTTAACTGTTTGTGTGGATTAAAAAAACACTGACTAAAAACATTTATTAAATATTGTATACCGAAAAAAGAAATATTATAAAAAATAAGCTCCTTTAAAACGTGTGAAATTGGCCTAAAGGAATTCAAGGTTTTCACCGCATAAATTTTGGCAGAATTTAATAATAACAGAAGCCTAAGAGCCAAAGAGCAAAAGCGGCAAAAAACAACAAAAAAACTTTGCATAAAATTTTAATAATATTTTTATTCGCATAAAATAACAATAATAGAATAATCGCTTTTCGTTTTTTTTTGTTTTTTTGGTAAAACTTTTTAACAAAATATTTAACAAAATATGAAAGTATAATTGAAATTTTTTCAAAACACACGCTTCAGCGTCTCAGGAAGTAGGGATACGTAGCAGTTGCATACGGATATGTGGCATAGGAGTAGGAGCCGAGATAAGGTGAAGTGTAGGCGGCATAGTACGGAGCAGTATATGCCGGAATTGCTGGAGCGGCTACTGCAGCAACTGGTGTAGCATAGCTGACAGGTGCTATCAAATGTGGCTTAGCGGAAGTGTATCCCAGCAAAGCTAAAAGACAGACAATCAACTGAAAAACGGAAGTATAAAAATAATTAAATCACATTAAATTATATTAATTGAATTGTTAAAATTTAATAATAATTTTAAAATATTTCAATTTATGTTTAAATTACGTTTGTTCAACTCACCAACTTGAACATTTTATATAAAATTCCAATTCTCTGTGTAGCTTGAGACGTGGGTTTGGTGGTTCTGACGTTCACTTCAGAAATGCCAATCATTTTTATACGTGCACTGGGCAGAATTTTTTTATTGAAATGTTTGTGTTTGTCTCGGCTCCCGGTTTCATTGTCATATCCAAAAATAATCAATTTGTAATAAACCATAAAAACATATTTATTATAAATTATATTTTGTTTGACATTGTAAAGCCTCTTTTCATAAAGCCTCCATTCGTACGTTTCCCGCACTTCGTCTACCGACGAATTTTAAACGCTTCAGTCTGTGCAGCTTTCGTACGTTACAAAAATTATAATTATCCATCATTCCGTCGATTTTGCACTTGTTGTGAAGAATGGTTTGTCCAGTAATAACTTTTGTACCGATTTGGTTCTCACGATTAAACATTACGACCATATGTGAAACATAAAATATTTTAAATGATTTGTACAAAGTTTAATTAAATTCATTTAACATATTACAATATTCCAATCTTTAAACTCTTCTCTACTAACTTTTCATTGCTTGTGTATTTAGAATAGTAAAATCGAAGAGATACGTGTACAGAATTAATGTGTGGATTGTTTGTAGAGTACAGTACCGGATTCATTATTATTTTTAAGGTGTGCAGTATTCAGAAATGTTAAGCTCATTCATTTTTTATTATTGGTTAATGTTGATTTGATATTAATTATTTTAACTACCTCAAAGATACTTTTATAACTTCAGTTTAGTTTATTTTCCAACAGTCTCTTAATTTAATTGCCATTTCAAACATTTTTATGTAGATTTGTGTGCCATAGCAACCCTCATAGTAAGTATGAGAAGTAGTGGCCAAACTATTTCATCGTAGTTGTAAATATATTATTAATTGATCGAAATTGTTTTAATTCATTTAGTTCTAGAATATACTAGGTTGGTTACACTAGCAGGTCTGCAGATATCCTTCCGCTGCCCATATTTAGCGAATTTTTGCCATTTGCTAATACATTCCTAGCAAGAAATCTTAAGAAATGAAAGAGGAAAATGAAAAAAATTTAATTTAATCCCTTACCGATGAATCTGTCAAAAAAACGTTCCCCTAAAATCTGTTTCTTCTGGAAGCTTAAGCTGGCAGTCACTGACAAAATGTTTGCAAGTCATGTCAAAAACAAATACAGTGTAGTTATTTTTATTGACAGTCAAGCAGCAATGAAACCCCCATTAATCTATCACAAAATCTCAACAACTTAAAGAATACAGAGCAGAAATTAGTGAGCAAACCGATTAACTTACATTACACTCATCTGGGTTTCTAGACTTAGAACAATTAAATGGAATGAAAAAACAGACAGTTTGCCTTGCTTTGGTGCTTTCTGCATATATTCCCAGCGGTGCTGGTTTATATATCCCCCCCCAGATCGTTATCAGAATTGCAATTTTCATCTTTCATAAAAATATAAACCAAAGGAGAGTTCTAGATCAATAGAAACACAACAACTACTTAATCTGCTAAATACAATGTAGATAATATACCAAAATCTGTCAAATTATTAAGAAAGGAGAATGAATTTAAAAAAACGGACACGAACTAGAAAAAGAGTGCCAACTAACAACACTAAAAAAGAAACAAACAAGCAATTTTTTATCAAAAAGTCTAATTTTTTTATCAAAATGAATAAAAAAAAATATTTGTGCTATGTTAATGTCGACGTTTATGATGTTTGAATACCTTTTTTCAAAAAATATATAATTTACACAATTTAATTGTATTAAAAAGAAGAAAAAAATATTACAATAAAAAAAGTGCCAGTTAAAAGCATTAAATAAACGAAAAATATGTTTCCTTTTTTCAAATTTATATAGAAAATCTAAAATCAAGGTTGCTACTTGATGTTAATGTATAACCTTTTAAAAAAGCTTTTCGAAAATTCATTTTGTATTAAAGAGGGTGGTGAAATTTTCAAAACATGATAACAGAGCGAACAGGAGTGCTAATTCACAGCATTAAAAAATGAAGGATATTTGTTTTATAAATGTATGCACTTTATTTTTATACAATGTCAAAGTTAATGTTTTTAAATGCCTACAAATATTTTTTAATACATTATTATACTGGATAAGGTAAAAATTTAGAAAAAAACAATAACAGAATAAGAAAAGATCGCCAGGTAATAGCACTAAAAAAACGAAGAATAATTTTTTTAAGACTTTTTGCCAGATAACCGTAAAATGCTGATGTTAATGCTTTAACTGTTTAAAATCTATTAAAACCGAGATAATACAATTATATTTGTCATGTTGTAATATCTAATTATTAAAAAATAAAATATTAGAAACAATTTCCTGAAATATGTATATTCAATATGTAACATAAACTTATTTATTTACATATTTAAAAAGAGCTCGTTTCTAAAATCATTTACACAAATTTCATTGTTTTCCATCATCAACAAAATAAGATTTATTAAATTTGTCTGTTGATATCCTTGCTTCACTTATAACTACCCCATTCTATTGTTGAAGTCTTCTTTCTTCCATATACTCTACTTAACATACTCTACATACTGGGAATACACATTTACATTCCTCAAACAGTTTCCGATAAACAGCGTTTCCGGTCTTAAAGTTTGTGCTCGCAAGTGATTTGCTGTCTGACTGATTTCGGTCTTACGTGTTAAAGGTTACGCTTCGATGCGAACCTTCGCATGTTTCCATAAAATAAGTTAAATGAGTATGTAAGTATGACACCTAACATATTGATTCCTTAATACTTAATACTGCTCCCAACAGGGAAGCGTTCACCCAGCCAACTAAAAGCGTATTAGATTGAAGAATATGTTTGCTCCTTTGTGCTTAACATTGTTAATACAAAAAAATGTTGCCGATAAAATTTTATATGTTTCCGTTTGACTGGAGTTGTTGCAACATTACGATTTTGGCTTCTGCCAAAGGATGAAGGATATACGAGTATTTGCTGTTTGTGTGATAGGATAATGATGATGCTTCTGACAGCGATGAAAGCGCAAAATTTTTAGTGTTTTCATATTGCTGTCGCTTCAGTCACTTCAGTTGCTTCCGTTGGTTTTGTTGCTCCTGTCATTTTTGTTGTTGCTGTTGTTGTTATTGTTTTTGTATGATTATTACATGTAATATCATATTTACGATGTGACATATTGCAATGGTAAGCAATCCAACATGGAAAATCTTTTAAGAAAATATTCGCATTTCATTGAATGAATTGGACTGGAAGCTGTAAAAAAATGCATGAAATTTGAACTTAAAATATTTTTTAATGGAAAAATTGTGCAATATTCCTTCTGGTTATTGCATTAAGCAAAAACTGATAAAGTTTTTTAATTAAAATATGTTTTCTTTAAGAAAATTTTGGTTAACCATGAAACCATAACATGAAAGTACATATTTTAGTATTAGAAAGGTTTAACTGAAGGAAAATATCTTATATTAAAGTCAATTTCTTTGCCATAAAAAAGGATTAAATTTGTTTGAAAATTAATTAAAGTGGTAAATAAATAAATATTTAATTATCATAAATCAATAAGACAAGTTAATTTATAATATTAAATTAGTTTGATTGGATTAGTATATGGGAACTCTCTATATGGAAACTGAAGCGAGGATTTCTAAATATATATATACTCCTTTCTTAATGGTTGATATTTTTGTTTATATTTGAGGTACGATTACATCAAGAAATTGTTAAAAAGAAAAGGCAACGTTAATAAAAATATAATATCCTCATTGAAATCTTCTCATTAATATATTATATACCTATTTTTATATAGTAATAAGTAAGAAAAGCATATACGAGTACGTTCATAAGAAGCTTAACATTTGAAGATTAAAAGTTATACGTTGAATTCGTTTAATTGAAATCCAGATTATTATAAACAACATCAATTTGATGAGGATTATAACTTATATCTTTATAAATATATTAAATTAGAACAATTTTTTGCATTTCATACACTAATTTAGTTAAAAGTTGATGTAACGTCGTTACATTACATTTAGGTAAATGAAAATAAAGTAAAATCCCTGAATCAGAAGTTTCTTATCTGTGCTTGCATAAAAGGATTCCATTTGCACCTTACTGCATATTTCAAACTTTGGAATCCAGTCCCTTTAGTTGAAAAAAATATTTTTATTTTTCTAACATTTAGCCAACTCACTCGCATTTGATTATATATTCCTCATTGGTTATTATTTTCGTGCTGCAACTCCAAAAATCCTTTAAAGCTTACAACATCTTCCGACACAACTTTGAAGCATCAGAAACGTTGCTTTTATTCCAGCTTTTGTGCTCCTCAGCATCGCATTTAGATTTTTGTTTTATTTTCGTGTAAGTGAAATCAGAATCAGTGATGCGGCAATGGTTCCAGTAGAAAGGACAAAAGGTGAAAGGTGCTATTTAACGAGGATTGCTGCTATGGCTTGTTGCTTTGGACGTTACTGCATTCACATCGCACTGACGTTTGTGTTGAGACATGCGCTTAAATAAATTCGACCTTATTTTTATTTCCCCCTTTTCACTTTGCTGACAAGTCAAAGTTGATTTCACTTATTTCATTTTCGGGTTGGAGAGAGGTGGGAATGGAGTGTTTTAGTGATGTGCAAAGTTTGGGTATCGTAACCCCGTTTATGCATTCAAAATCATTTTGGACAGTCAATAGAATTTTTATCGCATTGGTAGATTTACATAAGGAAAGTAAAATATATCAAGGGAATGGGCTACAAATGACTCCACGTATTAACTGAAATATATTTTTAATATAGTTGATATAGTGTTGATATAGCACATTGCTTCATATAAATATATATACGTTAACTATATATGTGAGGTGGCTCAAAAATAGAGAAAATATAATAGCACGATTGGATCTATAAATCCCGAAATTATATTGGGAAAGATGAGAGCGAACCCAGAGAGTTAGCGCCCGATAGAGTCATATGTGATTCAAGTTCCCAAAATGAAAAAATTAGACCTCGAAAGGAGAAACAGAAACTAGAAAAATAAATAGTGCAAACATCAAGAAAATGCGGTGAAAAAAGTGGTGGTCTGGACACAGATCGAAAATCACAAGAGTGTGGCTTGAAATGCCAACACAAAAGAGACCCTCCTCGAAGTAATGCGAAAGTGGTTCCGGGGAGGAGTAAGTCTCGCCTAAGAGTTAGTGTTTTAGTCCGTATACTG